ACACCATCATAAGGACTTAAAAACTAGAAGAAATGCAACTACTATTCAGGATAAAAGTTCTTAATATCGCATTTTCCTGCAAACCCGAATGAGCACATGAATTGTGGGAGAGGTTACTTCAGGACAGTGATTTCATTTTTATCTTTTCCAGTAAAGAGATACTTAAGTCAAAAAGTACAAAAATAGTAACAATCTTGCAAGTGCAGTAAATATTCTGGCACTGCTTCCTTTACTAAAAGTAGATGCTAAACCTTCCTTAATGCCAGGATCTGATTATCCATATGTAGAGGGATCCATGGGACTGGTGGGAAAGGTAGTATGACAATTTTTTACCCCATTACTTGGGCAGTTAGGATCTGATTTAGCATGAAAAAGTACAAACTTGGATTTCTGTGGCTCCAGTTCCAGAAATATTGAATGAAACCTCCAGTTTTGCACATCTGACCCTCTTAATTCCAGACCCAGTGTGTCAGAACACAAGGTATAGTGAATTATCAAACTTTTCACAACCTAATGGACAGGACGAATGTCATCAGAGAGATCAGTTTTTTCTGACTTCAAATAGAGAAAAAAACTGAAACTTAAAGTTTCCTTAAACTTTTAGGTCTCTTTCTAAATATCATCATTTTCTTACTTAAATTAATAAAGTAGATCATGTTGTCATAGCAGTATTTTGTAAAAATTATGTATGAAAATCTTAAAATACTTTGGAACTGAAGGATCCACAGTAGGAATAACCAGCACATTGCTGCCTGCATATATAAAGGCAGATTCCCCAAACTCATACTTTAAACTTTATAACAAAATGTGATGATTTTATGCAAATAGTCATAGAATGCAGAAAAATAATTTGTTTAAAAATAATACAATGAAATGCCTGGTTAATTCCCTAATCTCCATGTGCTCTATATATTATCTTGAGCAAATTACAATTACAGCTCCTTGCCTTTGATATTATGAACAAAAGCAAAACTTAGCAAAGGTTTAAGCTGGTACTGTACATACAGTCTTTTCATACCAACTGATACATATGTGAACAAATGATTGGATATAGAAAGAACTCCAATTATGGAGAAGATAATATACAAGAAAAAAAGTGAGGTTGGCCTTTTCACAGTAAATATTGCTTTAACTTATACTTCTCTACATCTTCTGCTACTGCAATTTCAGATAAATCTACTGATTTCCAAGGAGTCACATAGAGTGTGTAAATATGAAACAAGTATAACCAAAAGGTGCTAGTTATTGTCTTGAATTTAAAATTAAGTTCATAGAAAGCATGAAATTTTTCAGCGTAGTTTGCTAAATGATGTATTAGTTAGGTACATTAACTTTGCTACTAGATTTTTTATTTAAGGGATTTAATTTGACTTTGACTCAGAGAATTTCCAAGTGATATTCACAAGATGATACTTCTCAATGACTTTAAAATATTCATGACTATAAAACAAGACACCACACTGGAAATTACCATGATTAGTTTTCAAATTATGGTAATTTTTGCCTTTTTTTTTTTTTTTTAATTCATGTTTTCTTTCCTCATCTTTCCCTTCTCCTTCAAAGCAAATTAATCTTCTTAAGTACATGTTGCTTCAGTACTTTTCTACCTTCTATGATAATACAGCAGAGCTGTAAGGAACCTGGAAAGATCATCTGGACCCCTCCCTGTCTGTGGTAGGATCAACTGCTTGTGACTTCTGACAGATCTTTGTCTGCTGTATTCCTAAAAACTTCATAAGCAGTTTGCTGCTGTCTTCCACTGTCCGTAGTAGAACTGTCCATAGAAAACTTGTCTTAATGTCTAATATGAAATTTCCTTACTGCAATTTGAATTTATTGCTTGTTTATCTTATCTGATATAGACATGTAGGATAAATATTACTATTATTATTATGTAATTATTTATATATTATGATAATAAATATTTTTTAGACCTCTGATCATTCTTTTTCTCTGCTTTGGATTCTTTCCAGTTGCTTCTTATTTCTCTTAAAGTTCATCAGAACTTAAATAAATGCTTTGCCAGTGTCTGAGTTAAAATTGATTAAGGTATGATTAGGTGTACTCTAAAGTGAAGTTCTGGAGTTTATAAATGGTAGCCTTCTGTTAAGACTGTTTTTATGATGCTAATATACCCTCTTGTTGTCTCAAGACATTTATTGTCTCAAGTCTTTGGAGAATATTCACGCTCCAAAAATTGACCTTTGGTCAATTACAGTATTCACAAGATAAATTAATGTTATCTCTGCTTCTCCATTCCAGAGCTGTGCTACAGTTCATATAGACATAAATGAGCTACTTTAGCTAGTAAATACCTGCAGTAGAGCACAAGCAGCATGAGCTTCAGATGCAACAAAACTCCATGTCATCAAAGCTACTTTGCTTTTTGTACTTGATCTAAATATTTGTTCATCCTCCTTGTACTGCGTTGTGCATATGCTCTGATGTCAGATTTCAAGGCATAGTAATCTAAGAAGATGTCCAACTCAGCAGGACAGGACTCCATGATTGACTGCAACATTTTTAGATGATTTGGAGGTTAGGGATTTTTTTTAATATATTCAATTGTAATCATAAGTGAGAAATGTGGAAATCTGTACAAGTTTTTTGTGATCCTACACGTGTGGTATGATTATTTTTTTTATCAAGCAATGATCACTTCATCATTTACACTAAATTGTGTCTATTTAAGGTGAATTTAAGTGCAAATCAAATCTTTTTTTCTGTCTTCTAAATGTAGATTGTTCTTCAGGGTATTTATTCTTTGTGATTTAGACAAGCAGCACACAAACTGAAGTTTTAGTTCGCTCTATGAGTCAAATGAGTCCTATTTTAGGCTACTTACAGCCTGAAATAAAAGAAGGAAATAACTATTATAATTGATAATGATTTAATCTATAAAATCTAAATTAAATCAGAACCTATGTGCCTTGCTTCAGATTATAAATTACAGACAAACAGTCTGATGTTATCCCCTGTGGACAGGGGGCATTACAAATGTTTTGCATAGTCAGAGTCTAGCACTGCTGCAGGACTAGGCAGATCATAGATCTCATTCAGTTGTCATGTTCCTGGAGGGATTAAATATAATTCTCTGAAATGTCATCTTTCTGTTTCCAAAAGTTGAATAGATGGTATTTCAGATTAATTTCAATGTATTTCAGATTAGTTTGTTTCCTTAACCATCTCCAGATAATTATGGTCTTAATCATTGTCTGCACGCTCAGTCATATATTACAGCATAAGTTCATTAAAAATATATAATTTTATTGCTTTAATTTATTATAGCTACCAAACATGTTGATTCAAGATGTAACTGCTTAGGTATAACACTGTAACCTGTTTACCTGTAACCAATTCCCTATTTTACCACCATCATTGAAGATACACATTAGCAACCTAAGCAAGTTTAAACAATAAACTCTGAAAACATCTGAAAAACATGAGGGTTGTAGTATTCTATTTTTCTGGTTCTAATTGACTGTTTCAGGCACATATTTCTGGGTTAATAATGCTTTCTATTCAAAATTCAGCTCTTTGCACTAGAGCAGCTGCTAAAATGAAATTGCCTCTTAGTCAATTTTTACTGGAAATATTTGTATATAAAGGCTGTATATGTCCTCACGTATTGTATAATTTTTAGATGGATTCAGTGGAATACATGTTCAAGAATATCCATACTCTTTCTCATTCTTGAAAGGTTTCTTGAAGGCCTCCCGTAGACTTCTGAGAATTTACATTCTCATGAATGTACAAAGGAATAACCTGTAAGGTGAACAACATAGAAGTCAAAAGAAACATAAACCCTAAGTTAAACTTTTCTTTTTCTTATATTTTTCTAAGATCAAATTTTGCTATGACCACCAATTACCATTTTATCTTTAGAGAATGCAGAATGCTTTTTTGAGCATCTTAGATTGTTTTATTTTAATTTCTTTTCTTTTCAAGCAAACTGAACATCAGTCAGCAGAGAAGGCCAACATGGTAAGGGGAATCTATTTGCTCTCCTCAACTGTATAATGAGAATTTTTAGAGACAATAAAGCTAAACTCTTCTCAGAGGTGCACAATAAAAGAAAACAGACAGCACTGTGTGTTACAGAAAGAGATATTGTGACTGGATATAAGGAGAAATAAAAAAAACAAACCAACAATTTACACATATAACCAGAACCACTGCAAATAAGACCTTGACTGCATCTGCCCAGTTTTGACTACGTTATTCCAGTATGAACTGGAAAACAAAGAAGTATAGATGAACCTTGTTATGCAACTGCTGCTAGCTTCACACGTTTTGTAACCTTTTGGGGGCAGGGGACCAGAGGCTAACAGAATCCCTAGGGACAATCAGTAATTGATCTTGGATAAGAAGAAAGTCAAAGAGATTGGCGTGGGGCTGTGTGATTAGCAAGACCATTGACTGGTTATGTTTGCCATCTAATTTAGAAAGCAATTAATAATTAAGACTATAGTCCCTAGCTGATGAGAAGAAACACCATGAAAGGATGTCTGGACATGTAAAAGGCAGAGCCTGAAGTGGAACAGTTGCACATTGGGACCAAGCTGGGACCCCATGCACTGGGTGCTCAGAGGGAGTGCCCGTTCCCCCTGGTTTATGTTGCAGGTCTGTGCTTGCTGGACCAGAGGAGCTGGGATGTGATCTGTGAGTGTGTGATACAAGTGAATGAGGCAGAATAGAAATCTTGGAACAGAAATCATTGCTCAATTGTTACATCCATCCTGTTAACAGGAAAGTTAAAAACTTTTGGAATACCTGAGCTGTATGGCTCTGGTTTTGTGGTTACCCCACCCAATTCCCCTGTAACACCATCCTTGGATATTTTAAAAATTGAGTTGGAGCAACTTGATCTAATGTCATAATTGGCTCTGCTTTAAGCAGGACTTCAGAATAGTTTGCAGAAGTGTATTCCAAACTAAAGGATTTTGTGATGTCATGACTAAAACTTACAGCTAAAACTTCAAGAAGTTGGTGTTTCATGATTTCTTAACATATTTGGCTTTATTTGTTATTGCAGCAACAGAAACTACAATTCACAGATGTCAAAATCCTATGATATACAGGCACATGATGACCATATACTGTCACATTCTATAACCATCATATCCTATGAGGTACATGGTTAAAAACACAGAAGAGTTACTCATTTTGTAAGTGTTGAAATGTAATTCGCCAAGGAAGATAATTAAATACTAAAATTCATATAGTTTACATGAAATCAGTTTAACCTTCAACAAAATTTTTTTTGCATACCTTTGGAACCCAGGCTAGTTGATAAGAATTACAAAAGAAATGTGAGTAAATGGCCAAATTCCTCTCCTAAGCTAGTATATCAACCAGTTCAATTTAAAGAAGCATCAGAGATCATTTGAAGAGTGCTTTTCAAGAAAATGGAGTGCTGTTAGTATTTTCCTATATTATTTTGCCTTTTATAAAGTCAAAAGTTTTGCTACTTTACATGAATTTTCCTACACAGCAAGCTGTCCAGGTTTCTTACTCTTTTGTATGTCTCTGGTCATCCCCTCTGGACTCTTTCACAAAACATTGGATGGATACATAGTCATATGTACCATGTGTGGTACAGAGAGTGCATCCAGCACATCCTGTATATCAGACAAACTGCACATAAACTGCCAGCAGAATCTGACACGTTCTGTGTGTGTTGTAATTAGTGCTTATACACAAGTGACTTAGATACAAGCTCAGTGAGCCCAGAGAAATCTAAGCACGGGATGCAGAGTCAACACAGGTCTATGAATGGCTGTCCAAGATTTTCAGTAATTTTGTTGCATTATCAGAGAAACTGCTCCATGCTCTGGATCATCTGGCTTTCCCCAACAATCAAAGTCCTCTTTTTGTTTTTTTTTTTCTCAGACAAAATTTCCAGGTGGAATAAAAATGGAGCCACTTGAAGAAAACTGGTTGTACATTCCTAATCTCCTGCTTATTTCATATTCTGGGAGTGAGGAATGTGTCAATGTACATATTCTCCCTGATAACTTGAAAATAACATGATTCTTGAGACATACACAGACCAGTTGGGCGCTGGTTCAGGCACTGCCATAGGGTCTGCTCCAGAGCTTCCAGTAATTCATACTGTATTTTGACTTGGTCCTTGGATGAAAGCCTGCATATCCCTAACACAGTCTTTGATGTTCTTTATCAATGAATCCAAATTTTTACTTGGTCGCTGTATCATTTAGAGTAACTTCTCCAGTGGAAGGAGCCCTAAAACAGTAATAAAATGCAATAGTCATACAGATACACCATACAGTGGTTTATTTTTTATTTCACCTAAACTTGCTACCATACTTTACACTTTGCTTCAGAACAGAACAAGTAGCGCTCTTTGTTTTACTTATATACAATAGTAAGTTAAAAGACAGTAAATATTTGGCAAGGAAGGAGAACTAGGAAAGGAAAAATAGGTGATCACTGTTCTTTTTTTGGTTATAGCTGATCAGAAGATAAAGCAAGACATAAAAACTAGAAAATAGGAGTAATATGGATAATACAATTTTATTGTTTGGCCAGTCTTTCTCTGTGTGAGGAGATCAGGAAACTCTTCAGGAGGCAATGTCTGGAAAATTGCATGAATGATAGTAAAAAAGGATGTGAAAGATCATCTGTGCAGATCACAGTCTGAGTTAACAATGACCCTGTGTTCTTTCAGTACCATAGTTACCCTGGTCCCAAGAGGCTGTGAGTGACCTGGGACATTTTTTTAGTAACTATTTGCCACATTTCTCCTCCTTTAGTGACATTATGGTGCAAAAAAAAAAAAAAGTCATATAACAGTGTCTGATGTAAGACTATTTCTAAATAGCCTATGAACCACTTACAAGAGAAGCTTGTGGGACACCATGCAATACCTCTAATGAAAACATGATGAAGGAAGGGATTTAAATGAAATTTCAAGGTGATTTATACCTTATGAGTCTTGACAGGAATTAATTCAAAGGCTTGTGGGATAATAAAGCATCACAACTGGTAACAGAAATTGAAAAATACATAGCAAACACAGTATATAGTTGTATTGTAGATTATATATTGTTTCCTTCATTTTTAAAATAAAGAGTATAGGAGACATGCATTTCAGAGGGAAATGCTGACTTAGTGTTGCTTTGAATTTTCTTACTTTCAAATGTTAATCTCAACTTTGACTTTCCTAGCACTTAATATATTTTCCTTATTATGTTTCATTCACATTCCTATGGGCTTTTTACGGTATTCAGTTATTTTGCTAAAAATACTGGCTTCCCACACTACTGTCCCCTAACATTTAGGTTAAGATAGGATTTTGATTTGCATTAAAGATTCCATTAGATGATTACATTTTCCAAAATCCACCACCAGTCAGCTAAGGGGATATGAATGACTATGGATCCATAATCTAAAGGGGAAGTGACTAGTTAGAAAATGAGACTTACCTTAAAATCTGTGCACGTTAATATTTAGCAAAGCAAAATGTCACGTAGCTGTGAGGAAGTTTTCAAGTAAACAATCTGAGTCAATAATAAAGATTTTAACTGAAGTCTATTTTAAATAGTGTCTATTGTTAAGTCAGCTGCTTTACAGCAAAACTACCAATTTCTAGTCCTAATTATGCCCAAGGACTGACAACACTGCTGCCTGTGAGATAAAAGTGTCCTGTTATTAGAAGATCTAGCCACTGTGAATGATTTAATTTTCTGCTCCTGAAATCATCTTAAATTATGTTGTTCATAAGAAAGTGACTGCAGACAGAGAGTTATTATTTGGACAAGCCCCTGTGAATGAAAATTCAATGGCCAGACTCTCATTTCTCTGCCTAAAGATGCTGTTATATTTTAGGTTCACTTAATTCTGGCAAGTTTGATGGTAATAAAGGAAGACAGCCTTTGCTGGAGCTTGTCTGGTGTGTAGGAAGGTCAGGCTTCCATCTCCCTTATCGAGCCTAACTGAGAACAATGTTAAATCCTGCTGAACAATGGCAGGTTTGGGCTTCCTTGCAGAGAGACTTTAAATATGGTCTTCACAAAGTTTTAATGGAAGTGCCTTATGCCTGACTTGTGTTCAACTGCTTTTCAAGCTACTGGTGGGCCCTTCACTAACATATATCTGATTTTGGTTCCTGTGTGTTCCTTTTCTATTGTGGCAAGGAAACCTTTAGGAAAGGCTTAGCCTCTAGTTGGTTCTGCAGAAGTGCAGAACTCAGCTTTGCAAAAATGACCTCTGAAAGCAGAGAAGGTGCTTTCTAAAAGAGTTTGCTAGGTTGTGTGTGGAGAAGCAGTAGTGGATGTTTGTCTGCTGGTGAAAAACATGGCCCTGCAAAGGGGTGATGTTGGGAAAATATAATTGAGACTGGAGCTGTGCAGGCACCAGTTCTGCAAGCCGTACAGGAGCTTAGTAGGAAACGTGACTTCTATACATTTTGCTATATAAAACAACCATGTAAAGGAAATAACGGAAAATGCAAAGTTTTGAGCTACTGTTACAGCTGAAAACTAATAGCTGGAGACTAATTTTTCCCCCATCTGCTGTGTGTGTGCTGATCTATGTGTGATGGGAAAACATTTGTCTGCTAAAGGAGAAGAAAATATACCAAGTCCTCCTCAAATGCTTGTCACTGAACATTTTCAAATGTGATTCATTAGAAAACATTAAGAAATGAGGAAATTATAACCTATTTTTCATGTCTTATGCAGAAAAAGATAATTTGGAAAGCTTGGATGAAACAAATACAACGTATATTATGTGGCAGCTTATCTTTAGGCAGAAGTAATACATGTAGAGTAACAATAAGTTTTGCCTGTCTTCAACACACTCCACCAGTTAAACATACTCAACCAGTCAGATATATTATAAAAGATTAGAACTAACAATTCAATTTCTGCACATCTTGAAACAGCAGACTTCTTTTTCTGGTGTTCTAGATTACTGCAAAGGGGCAGATTTCTGCCTGAACCAGAACAGTAGGAAGTTAGTGCTAGCAGTGTATATGTTGCTGCTGAAATCATCAGAACTGGTTGATATCATTAACAATTTGCCAGTGGTTTGAACTTGCATTAAAACTATGGGTGGCACTGAAGTATTTTTTGATAAACATTACTTCAGAATATTCTGCCCAAGAAATAATGTTCTTCCTGCAAAATGCTGTTAGCAGATTTATGTTGTCTGGCATTAGGATGTTGCTGTTCCTTTTGCATGTTAAAAAGTTCATGGCTATGTTTTTTTCAATATTTGCGGTAGTCGATGTACACCTACCTAGCGAAAACATTATATTTTCTAGGTCTTCTTTTAAGAGACATTTTGAATTTTTCAGGCTTCTGTATTAATTAATTTATTTCTATTAAACATTACTGAGACATCATAATTTGATTTTTATTGAGCAGAAGCTTATAAACCAATCACATATAGTTTAAAACAGAAAACAAGAACATTTATTCTTAGTGTGGCATCAGTTTAAGAAGTTTCATCAATTTTCCTTCATTCACCTATACTGGAACTCTAAAGCAGATCCTAATTGTGAATGTACGTGCTGTTTATCACACAGTGGTGCAGATGCAGTATCCAGGTCTCCGAAACATGTGACTCCAGTGAACACTGTACGGGTCAGTTGCCATTTAATTTCTGTTTCACTAATAATCATAAAGAATGCCATAGGGGCTTTTAACAGGCAGTAACAAAACAGTGGCTTTTGAAATACTACTCTCAAATCTGAATGAAAATGTCTGATAATTGAATTTAGCTATCTCAAATCTTGGCTTGGGTTTCCTGTTTTCCTAGTGACATTCCTCTGTGCTTCCAAAACCATGGCAATTTCTATAGAGTGTGTTTGTGTGTGCAGGCAGGCAGCTCCCTGATGACACTTCTCTTTTGTCTCTGCAATACAAAGAGGGATATATTACTCTATGGAATACAAAGGACTAATTCTACTAAATCAGCTTGTGGGCTCATCAGTGGCCATAGCAGTTTGCAAAATTTAATTAACAAAGATTCACAGTCACCTTTGCTAAATATAATTAATTATTAGTTTTCTGTATTATAAGCCATTTTACATAATCTCTCTAACTCCTACAGATGCATGCTTTTGTAGAATATATGGTTTCCACTGTGATTTCTTTAATATGAAGGACACAGTGATGGTAGATCTTTTGAGTTACTTTTCAAAATAATTTCCTTGCATGTGAATTTAAAATGTTTGTTATCACAATTCAGTGGGATTCTTTTTATGAGCAAAGTACATGGTTTTAGGGACATAAGCATATACACATTTTTAATATATTATCCTCATTTAAGAATATTAATAGCTAATATTAATAGCTAAATCAGTACAAATGTGTGAAGAGAAAGCAGACATGATAATAAAATGATTGTAGTATCCCTAGTCCAACTAGTGAATTGATAAACTATTTAGGATTCCTGATACAGTGATTCCAGTTACTGTCTGGTACTTCGAAATATTGGTGTACAAACTAAATTGCATAAAAGTGTTATTTGCTCTTCCATCAACAGTGAGATGAAATCTACTAAACGTTGCTATGCAGCATACCAGTGATCTCAGCTCTGTAAAAAGCGAAGTACTTCACATATTTTGAATATTTGAAAAAATGCTGTTTGCATGTGTTTAAAGACTGCATGTGAGACAAGCATGGGATAGGCAAGACAGAGTGTCACTTTGAGATGGAGAAAAGTTCAAAACTTATGTGTATTTGCAGTATGTATTAAAAAGGTTTTTAAGTTTGTGAATTACAAAGTCCTCAGAGAGAGTTCTCACACTTCACTGTATATATCCCATTTTGGAAACAACCTGGTTCGTTACCTGAATCAGAACTGGAGCTTTTACATAAGTTTTAGAATGGAAGCCCAGTCACACTGCAGAATACAAGCTCCTCACCAAGATGTTTGCAGGTTTTTCCTGTCTACAGCATGACGTTGCTGCTCATGCTCTCCTGTGAGTGTCTGGCTTTGCAAAGTGATGCCTATAGTTAGGCAGTGTATATATTTAGTATTTGTTGGTTTTCATTATTAATATAGTCTAGAATAAGCACCTTTGAAACTGTGATGACCGAAGATAGAATTCTTGAATTAATTTTGAAGGTATAAATTCTTTTTAATACATTCTGTTGTCTGACAGTCTTTTTTACTTATCATTTACTACTCCATGTTAATTCATATCTCCAGAATGGTTTTCCATTGAGACAGCTGTATGTCACTGCTTGCCTGATCATGCTGTTCAAAGTATAAACAGATCACTTTCATTAGAATAAGGCCCCCAATGCAGGCAGTAGGTTTAATAACTGTACCTGAAGGCTCAATGTTACAATTTATGGCTCAGGGCAGAGGGCACAGATGTGCCGGACCACTGAAGTTGGTACCTGGACATTGTCAGTTCCCAAATGTACATGAAAATCAACATCTATGTCCAAACTGTTTTAATAAAAAGAATTTTATCAAAATTCTTTTACCTCCTACCTCATATTTACATAAGTGTGATAAATGTCCTTCATTCACAGAGTAGGCTTTAGAGCATACTCATGTTACTGCAAACAAATAATTTGGCATAATCCCAGCTCCAGTTTCTTGTTGTTGGTATTTCACATACTTCTCTGAACATAATAGACTATATTTTTCCATTATGGAAACATTACTGAAAATTTCAAATTTTCATCAGAAAACGCTGCTTTTAAGTAAGTTTGCATAAAAGTATAAGACCTTCTTAGTGTCCTTTCATTAGAAGGAAAAGTTATTTTGCTGTAGAAAGAAAAATAGCTTTTTACAGTAAGGGTTATCCTGCATGTTCACAATATTTTTATTTAAATTTGTTTTCAATGTTACTATTATTATATTATAATTGTAATTCCTGTTTAAACATTATATGCTTATACATGCTCATCATTTTATTTAATGTCCTTTTCACAGTGAAATAAGTCAACTAAACATGAATTCAAAGTGAAATAAGGTAAGGCCACTGTTGATAATTTTTTAAAACCTCAGCTACAATGTCTGAACACTTTTATCTTTCAAATTTTACTAACTGGGTTAACTGACATAAGAGAGTGGTCAAAGAGTATTTTCTAAGCCTAAACTCATTTACATTTCTCCTGTTCAGATCAAAACTGACTAAGGATTTCTGAAGTACCATTGGGGTTTGGATCTGTGGTTTTGTTTGATATTAGCGACTCTGGATTCCTCTCCTCTGCTTCTTTCCTCTTACCTGGCCTAGAAATTGTGATCATACTCTTGGTACAAAGTCAGCACAAAGATTTGCTGCTGTGGCAAGGACAGCAAGGTGGTCCTGGGGAGTACATTCAAACCAAATTAATCTAGTGAATCTAAAAGATAAAATCTCTGTGGAGAGAAGAAAAAGACTAAGAATTTGTCTGAACCTCCCCTCCTACAAAAGTCCGGCCAGATGCTTGTGGTTAGTGTGAAATCACAGAGTGTGCAGTGCAACATCTCTTTTTTTTGCTATTGGAAGTGTTGTTCGTTTAAATGTAATGCATTCCAAGACTTGTTAACATATCTACTGCAAACAAATTTATTCTATAAAAATACATCTTCCAGTTCTGTCTTCACACTCTTAGGCAAGGAAGCACACTGAGTGATCCAGTAGAATGGGAAGAGGTGGGA